ACCCTACATTCTGTGCAAAAGAACAATTGGAGCCAGTGACGATTCAGTGAAGAGTGTAGTAGAATGTACTGTACACACTCCAATACCAATACAACTTAATACAGTCTTCAGATAATCCAGCAAGTGACACGTTACAACAGTCTACAACAAATTATGACATGCAATGGTCTAATTTTTTCTATAAAAATATTAATGAATGGGTGCCATCGGTCTTTGGAGTCCTGACTGTGGTGCCTACGGTGTTAAGTTGGTTTTCATGGAATTGTGCTGAGTATTTTGGTTTCCTCCCACCTCTCCAAGACCTGCCATCTCAATTCATTCCATCAATCTATTAAATTATTTTCTAACCACTTATTCCTATTCAGGGTCGCGGGGACACCAAGGACTATCCTGGTAAGCAACAGGTGAAAGACAGGATATACCCTGGATAAGATCGCAGGGCAGACATACAGACACAAACACAGAAGCCAGAAGCCAAATAACCCATCAGTATGGCTTTGGACTGTCGGAGGAAACCAGAGTACCAAGAACATAAAACACGGGGAGAACATAAGAACTCCATGGAGGTAGCACCCTAGAACACCTAGAGCACCTTGAACCCAAGTTTCCAGCACTGTGATGCAGCAATGCGAACAACTATGCAACCAAGCCACCCACTCTAGATCAGTTGATGTTCCTAAACTGTCACTGTATGTGCAGGCAGCAAGGACATCCTGTCCAGGGTGTTGTCTTTTAAGGATAGCCGAGATGGCCTCAGGTTTCTCGATGCCATTACCATGAATAAGTAGCTTTCTAATAAAGAGTGGTTATTGTTAAGCACAGTATAACACTTTGCAGGTATACTATGTTGATCCTATTTTAAAACCATTTCAAAATTTCAAAAATGCACCGTGAACTAATGACCAGAATAAAAGTTAACTACTGGCACCTGTATTTTAGTGTTATTTTCTAAAATGTGAAGCCAAGTAATGACATTTAAATAAATCTACCTGTCATTAGCATAGGTTGAAAATGTATATTGTCTAGATAAAATCAATAAGAGTTGGCATACAGATATCAAAAGAACATCATTTAAATGACTTTTTTTTCTGAGGAACACTTGTTAAATAGATATACTGTAAATACAGTGTATACTGTAACATTAACCTGAGCAGACTTCTGGGAAAGGAAATGTCTGTATGGTTTTATGTATTTAAGGAAACCAGTCTGATATTGCAGCATGTACTTTAAAATAATCTGTAAAGCAATGACTTACTCTTGATTTCTAAGTCTTAAAAAACATATTCAAGCCCTGAGGTGCCAGCAGCAACAATAATTCTTGAAAAGAGAAATGGGCAATGGAAACCCGAGTTGGCTGTTTGATGAAAGATGCTACCTGTTTCTTTCATAAATAAAACTATATCTCATAGAAACACTGGGGTATAATAAAATGTTGCCATGTAATGTGATAAAACAAAATGTTCAAGCCAATGGCATTAAGAAAAATGGGTAAAGTATTTAATCAGTTGCAGCAAGCATATGTTTTTGTAAAACTGTCATCATGCATCACCTAATACTGTACTTTGTCCACAGAATATGTAAAAAAGATGCTATCTTTTATTATAAAAATGATTTGCAATTCCATTATTAAAAATGACAGCAGATGCAGCAGATTACAATGCATACAATAAAAGCTATGCATTCTAAACTGCCTTTGACAATACTGTTGTTATGGCTCTTGTACAAAGCATTATGGCACTTGTACTGGTGCTATTGTGCAAGTCTGCTCTTTCAGGTGTATGCTCATTATTTTTTTTCCTTTTCTATAAAATGTCTTCAAATCTAAAAAAAAGTTAAGAAAACTTTGCCAATTCATTTTTGTTTCCCAAGATCTTTCACTTAAGAATAAAAACACTAGACAAACAATGCACATTAAGCGCTTGGGGGAAAAAAAGCAATGTGATGTGTAATTAAGGTAACAAATAATCTTTTCAACCCTACATCTCAACGGCCGTAAAATACTAATGAGACAGAGACGGTTTCTTTACCCTGAAAAAATGCTCCACTGAGGGAGTGAATGTCATTGATTATTCAGAACTGCAACCGGGTAATTTACACCTGAAGATCTGAGGTCAACAGATCTTTTGTAGTCTATAAAGTATATGTATTGCAGCTTTGTGACAGCATGTGTGGTGTGTTTGTTTGTTTGTTTGTTTGTTTGTTTGAAATGTACAGTAAATGCAGATTTTTTACTTATTTTCTTCTGTTAGGCACTTACGTAAATCAAAGGACAGAGGTGAGGTGCTACTATGTCCAGTGGACAGTTTTGCAGAAAAGTTTAATGCAAATATTCATTTAAAACCAGAACATAATTAAGCATTTTAAACATAAGAATGTAATCTGGCACAGCTTCACAGCTAAAACATTATATCTCTTTTCTTTTGCTTTCAGCATGGAATAAACCTTCACCTCTTCCTTTGCAGTCTACACATGCTGACACAGCTACCTACTCGAACTTCTTTAAGAACATCATAATGTTTAAATACTAAAGGTGTAATTGTAGTGTTGCTTGTTTGGTAATGTTGTACCTACTGTAAATATATCCAAAATTAAACCCAATTTCTTAAAAGCATCCATAGCCTGGGCATCAACCACCTGACTGTCAAGTCTATATCAGATACCCACAAATCCATATGAAGAAACATTGTCTATTCTTGAACCTAAATTTGTTCCCTTTAAGTATTAAACTGTGACCAATATTCTTGTCTCACTACTGAGTACAAAATAGTTCCCTGGATTGGCTCTAGCCTACCTTAGCAAAATCCCTTTAGGATTTTGTATACTTGGATACAATTTGCTCTCAATCCTCTTTGTTCTAAACTCCAGAGATTGAACTTCCTTAACATGTCTTGTATGAAAATTCCCCGACACAAGGAATCGTTTTTGTTGCTTTTTTATGAAGTCTCTCTAACAATGTAATATAATCCTTTTTGCGGTGTGGTGACCAAAACTGAAGCCACTATTATAACTGTGGTCTTACAAGTGCATTGTAAAGCTTAAGCATAACTTACTGTACCTGGATTTAAATTCAGGAAGTTTTTCTCATATACTGTACCCAGGCGTTGTTCTTGCTACAGTATATGAGTGCTTTCCCATGTTGTCTTGATAAGGACTGAAGAATCTAAATAAACATCTCATTGTTTTTTGTGTGTGCCCTCCTGCAGCTCTGAATAACATAATAATATCTAATTAACTGCATGAATTGCTTTGCAACTTAACTTTGTTACATTTCATTTACTATCTGTCTTATGAATAATTTTGTCCAAGTCTCTTTAAACATCACTCTTTTGTACATATTCCTGTAATACAGTATATCTCTAAAACTTACACTGTTCTCTGTCTCTTAAATGTTTTCAGCTTGCGTCTCTATATTGATTTTTCTTCTAGAGAGAATGTTCTGTTACTTAGACAATCCCAAATCACTTGTAAAAGTCTACAGATTTTCTAAAGAAAATGCATGTCTAATAGTGCAAGCAAACAAGCATTTTTACTATCATTGATAAACAACAACAATTTGACAAATATACTGCAACAAAGTTACTAAATGTGCCAAATACAGTATAGGGAAATTGATAAAAATATAAGAAATGTCAGCATCTTTTGCTCCTTGCTGCTAACAACTGGGTTTAAATGCGCAAAGAGGAGTGCAAACTAGTAAGGAGTGAATGAGCATGTTGACATACAGTGCTCACAGCCTACGTGAATAAGGTGGCAGATGAGATGTAATAAATTGTGAACAAACATGAAATAGTGTGTTAAAAGCTGTAATGTGTACACAGATGACCAGCATGTGCTTGTATATCTAGGAAGCATGATTCATTACTTCTTGAAGCCATGGTTGTATTGTAAGACCTATTATGAAATTTCGGTTACGTACAGTAGAAAGGATGAAAAAGAAAAAACTGTCAAATGATGTGTTCCAGAAGTAGAAAGTAGCAGAAGAAGGTCAGTCCAGGTTTCTCAACTATTAACTATTAACTGGTGTCCTGTCCCAGTGTAATAAACACAAAGGTCAATTGCCCAAGGAACACATGGGACTTCAAGGGATAAAGTGAATGGCCAAGATCAAGTGAACTTGCCGAAAATGGCAATCCTTGACCATGTTAGGTTGAAGTATAACATTGAAACAGTGGCATAAAACAGCTTGATTACATGTCTCTTTATATTTCACGCATGGAAAGTGTTTCGGACAATATAAAAGAAATTCCATCCATCCATCCATCTTCTAACTGCTTTCCAATTCAGGGTCACAAGGGAGATGGAATCTAATCCGATAAGCAATGGGCGCAATGCAGGAGACACCCTGGACAGGACAACAGTCCATCACAGGGCATACACAAACCACAACCAATTTTCCCAAAAGCCATTTAGCCTGTTAGGAAAGAAACCCAGAGGAAACCCGCAGAAACACAGGGAGAACATACAAAATCGACAAAGATAGCAACCCAGGTCCAGTTTTGAAACCAGGGCTCTAGTGTTGCGAGTCAGCAATGCTATCCATTTGCACCACCATTTTGCCCTCTAAATGTATTATAAAAAAATATGAAATGTGCATATTCTTCATGCACCAACAGGTTTGTAGCTTTCTATTAAGAGAAACCAAGTGATTAATGAGAGCAACATTAATTTGACTGAATTGAATAAACTGCTGAGAATATGTGGTCTTTTTCCATAAATCAATTGCCAATATGAATGTTAACATCTAGATTGATTTGTAGCACCTCAAATCTTAAAAAAGTGTGTGAACTTGCCTAAGATACATAACTGAAGTGTGCACAGGTGGGTGAGTGTGTAGCTCAGTGTTGCTATTGAGCACTTTGGTTCTTTTTGGACTTAACAGAGCTGTTCGTAACAGTGGCTGGAAAATAAATCACTCTCTCTTGAGATTTCAGCAATAAACACAAAATAGTGCTTTGCTTTCCCGTGTGCTCTTCTCAAACTGAAACGTCTCTAAGGCTCACCTGGCAAAACTCTGAGCTCCGCGTCGCTTCCCGTCCTGGAGCTCCCAGGGTTCTCTGCTAGGCAGCGGTATGTGGCTGAGTCAGGGGGCTGCACCCTGCTGACTTGCAGGGCACCAGATGGCAGCACCAGCACTCGGTTCTCCGGGGCAAAGATGAGTGGCAGGTCCTCACGGTTCTTCTGCCAGCGCACCAGGGGCATCGGTTCCCCTGACACCTCGCATTTCAGCAGGGCCGTGTCGCCGATATACGATGACACAGACTCCGTCGGGACAACCAGACGCAGGGGGCCTAGAAACACAAGCAGAGAGAGGTTACTTGCAAGGACCAGCTCCTGCACGTCGGATTGGCTCAAAACAATGATCGGGTCCCATGAAGAACAGTTTCCTGCTCACACTCTCCCAGGATACCCAGGAATTTGGATTTCCTTTAGACAAACATCGGTTTTGTTTTACTTAACGCTGCACTTGGACACCAGCTGTATCAGAACACAATCATCACCTGGCTAAGCAAGACCATTATGATAAAAATATTAATATATTTATAAACCATAGACATGTTCCATAATTAAAAACATATGGGTAATTTGATGGACAGTTCATTTTTAGACACTGACTGCTAAAAGAAAACATCTATTTAGCAGGATTTTAATCCTTTTTAAGCTCTTCTTGCCAAACCACCTTGCCAATGGAAAATTAAAATTGCAGGCACTGAGAAAGACACTTAGATGGTTTTACATGTTAATTATTGTTGACATATTTGTGTAGAGTACCATGTTTCAATGTACAGTACTGTAGGTTGTCACAAGACAGTTGGTCCAGATGACAGCCCTCACTCCATCTGGATTTTACAGAATATTTTTCCAACATGTCCGCCTCCTGAATATCGATTTAATCACAAAATCATAAATCAGTTCCAAATAATAACTTCCATTCAACTGAAAGTATCGTTTATAATTAGAAATATTTAAGTTTATTGTGAGCTTGACCGTGATGTCAGCATTTTTTTTACTTGTTTGACCTGCCTTCTGCACTCTCTTTTCCCCACAGTGGTTATGAGTTTTGATCATGCTCTACATGGTTACATTTAACTTTGCGATAACTGATTGGACTTGATTATTTTTTTCCTCTGTATGTTTGCTATTTTATAGTACTGGTGGGCTCATTGACTCAGTTTTCAGTCTTGTCCTGATTTCCCCTTCCCTGCAGCACAGCACAGTCCCCAAGCAACCTAACCAATCTATACTGTACTGTACATATCTAATTGGTCAAATCTGAGATGTGGCCTGCTGGGGTATAACATTTAAATGGAGGTTTGATGCCACAAAATGGAATATCAAACTTCCCTTCTTTTTACAGCACCCAGAGGTGTTTGTTTTTAACTGCTTCTTGATAATGTCATCTGAGCCATATAGGCCCTTCATCCCATCAGGAAACGCTATTATTATTGTTGGCATTAAAATACAGCTCCATCTACGTTGTTCTTGTTTTCTTTTTAGCACCAATACAATAATAATAAGAGAAGGTGGTAAGAAAACAGCGCATCTCACAGAGTTCCATGTTCAGAATCACACAGGATCTACTGTACATCAGTCAATAAAAGTATAAATAAAAACACTGTCAACCACAGAGAAAGAAAGAAGCAGATAAATGTTCTAAAAAGCAATTCTGTTCTGAAGCTCCTGTGGTTTATAGATCTGTGTATCTATATACCTCTTCACTGTTGCAGTAATTTCAGAGAGCCTGAAACAGTGTCACTGCGGTGCTTTTCATAAATGCTGTTTTATCATTTTCTTAACGCACAGAAACATGCAGAGTAAGCATCGGCCTGCATGTTTGCTTGTCTGATACGGTGCATCTGTGTCCTCCAGAGCTTACGGTAAATGAGTTTTCATATGTATTTGCAAGTGCCATTATTTTTTTAACATGTACCACATGAAACAATCAAGAATTGTGATTTATACTGAATGATTAGACATGATGAACAAATATTTCAATCACAAATTTTATAAAGCCTGATTATGCAGTACAGGAAATCCTAGGAGACAAGAGCTGGGAGCATTGTCATTCCATAAGAGCTTGTTCTCACCAGACACATCTACTTGAGCTTTACTAAACATGGCTGAGTATCTCAAGCAGTGTCTTTTTTAATTACCATCACTTTACTTAATCTAGCCTGAAAATCTCTTAGTCTGGAAATCTCCAAATCATTTTCATCATATTTCAATTTGTTTTTGTATTTTTTCAAACACTTGAAAGCTAGACTAGATCATTTGCAAAGGCATCCCCAATAAAATATTCAGAAAAACAGCAAACAAGTGAAAGAGAGCATTGAGTGGAAATAGCTCAGGGGATACTTCCTATAGTCCATATTGAAGTAGAAACATTGCATATATTCATGGGCATTATTAGCAGCTTTTAACAGTGCAACATAAAGTTAATATTAAAGTGAGATAATAAAATTGTAGTTTGTTAAAAGCCTCTCAGTTTTGTATTGTACTGATTAGTATTTCCATTACCATATTTTAGAGACATTAGACATTAGAGACATATTTTTAATTTCATTTATCTTATTTAATTGTGTTGAAACATGGTGGTAATATTGAAATGCCAGTGGTTTTTCAAAATCTAGAGAAGTCTTCTCCTGTCATATTAAACAGAGAGGATCTGCAGCTTGCATCTTTTGTGAAAGCACCTTTTGTGCTCCTGCAACATCCAGAAAAAAGGGAATAACTATTAATGTACTGCAACTTTATTCCAGATGTGTTAACTATACGTATTACTACAGTATATTATACAGTACTTACTATATTACTATAACTATATTGGGATTATGTATGTACGAATGAACAGAAAGTAAATTGTATGTTTTTGTTTTTCATTTATTTCTAATGTTGCAATATTTGTTAATATTGAATGATATACTTCCGAGGTGCAAAGGAAATATCTAGTCTCAGAATGATTTTAAAGTCACACAGACAATTTCAGAAACTATTTAGAGCTCTCACTGCCATTGTGTTGTAAAATGATGCTTGTGGAGAATTCCTTTCTACTAACTCATGGTTAATTGCACCTAACACCATTTGTTGTGGAAACCAGGCTTCCCTTGAAATATCTGTAGACGACAGGAAACCAGTCAAAGATTTTATCAAAAACAAAAAGACAGAAAAGATTAGCAGGAATGAGATGCATTACAAATTAAGGAATAACCATGGAAACATTTACCAATAAACTGATATAAATCACATTTGGTTACACTAATTGAAAATGTCAATCTAACCTTGCAAATTAGATGAAGACATACTGTACAGTACAGTACTAAAGCCATTACTGCTGAATAACCGACAGAATTAAATAGCAACATGACACAGGGTACAACTCCAAGGTGATATTAATACGTTTGCTCTCAATTTACTCTGAATTTTCTTTCTTGAGCCACCTGAGGCCATCATTGGAGCATAATTAGAATTTTTGCATGCTTCTCTTATCTGTGACAGAAGGCTTGTTGGCCTGTCCCACTACCATCATGATAACTCTAAAATGTATTATGTACCATCCTTGGATTTAAGAACGAGTATTATTGCAATGAGGTTGGACTTTAAGTAACTGATAAAACACATTACTATTGCTGTTCTTCTCATTTGAAAGAATGCTGAAGTTGTACCGACCTAACTTTACTGAAGCACATGTGTCAGATGTTCAATAGGTCCTAGGACTTCACCCTTTGTTCTTGACTGAACAATTAAAGGCTTACCCCCAAAATGATACTCTGTTAGAATGTTTCAGATTTGACAAGGCTGATTTACTAAAATATACATTGATCAGCAAACGAGAGCATTCTGTTACAGTATCACCTGGTCCACAGAAAAAAACAATGTGGCTGCTCTGGAATCAGTCCAGAGAAGAACAACCAGGCACATTCCAGGGCTTAAATGATTGTTCTACATTGAAAGGCTGAAACAGCTAAACCTTTCTAGTTAGGAAAAGAGAAAAATTCAAGGGGACCTGTTGCAATTTTTCAAAATCCTTACAGGCATTGGCAAAGTCAATCCAGAGGACTTCTTATGAGTGAACAGTGAAACATGAACAAGGTACTACAGGAGGAAACTATCTGGAAATACATTTCAAAACCAAGAACAAGAGGAATTTCTTTATCCAAAGTACTGCAAGAGCAAGCTACCCAACCTTGTGGTTAAAGCCAATGCCTTCGAAGAAACTTTGACATTATTTAAAAATGTTGGATGGATTAAAAAGCTACTAAACACCAAACAGACCACATGGGCAGAATGGCCTACTCTGGGTTCTTACTAGAGCAACATCTGGAGGTGAACAAGAACAAGAACTGGGATGGTTCACCCATACACCTCATACCCCACCTCTGGAATTGAAGCTGAAACTATAATATAAAATAGCCAACAGCATTCAGTAATATACTAAAATAATAACTATAGGAGAAAAGTGAAATAAACAAAAACAATTAATAATTAAGATTCATTGCAAAAGGTACTCTCAAGTTGCAGTCTTAGGCAATATTGTGAAACTGATCAATAATATGAAAAAGAGGCAAATGATGCTAACTGCCAAATCGATGATAAACTGCTCGACTGTAGTAGGGAGTGCTATCACTAATAGCAATGGAAACAAATGGAACCATAAATGTCATGTACTGTATGTTATATAAACAGTAACAATAGGCGATTTCAAAAATGCGGTCAGACGTATTACAGAAATAATTTAGTAACAAGGAAATATAAGGCAATTTTGCAATCTAAGAAAATATGACAAGAAATTTTTAAACATGTAAACATTAAAATTCTGCAAGGCTTTGCTCTTTGGTTCTCTGTGTAACTTCTAACAATGATTTAAAGTTGAAGCCTTTGTTTGTTGTCAGGGTTACAAACAGTGAAATGATCATTTTGTAGCTTGAATGTACAGGCCAACATATCAAGTTGATATGTTCATATCAAGAAAGATATATAAAAAGTCCACTTTTTTAACAATAACCTTAACGATCTTGGTCAAGTTGGCTTGTACTGTAGATATGTGACTGTCAGAAATCAAATATTGTTCCCAGAATAAACTACAACAGTTTCCTGGAACAACAACACATACTGTACAATATATCATTATTGAATTTTTGAAACAATGTCAGACATTGGTACTAATCACTCAAAAATGAAATAAAACAATATTAAGTAAGAATATTCCAATTGAAAAGCACCATCAGCAGAGCAGTATTTTCTATACACATTTGTTATGATCACATTTAAAATTAAATCGATTGCAATGTTT